GGACCTCTGTACGAGGTCCCAATCATGTGATCACTGATTGGGCAATCAGTGATCACATGCAAAGTAGTATGCAAGATGTCACTTGTGACATCATTGCTTACTACGTGTGAAATCTGTGAATGATCACAGAAGTCACATGGTACAAGGCTACAACAGCCTTGTACCATGTGACAAGCTCTGACCAATCACAGCTCACACAGTATTTCTCAATGGCTGCAAGAATGCAGACAGAGAGAAAGAGAAATGATTGCTTTTACATCCTATATGGGTGTAAAAGCAATCACTGTAAAAAAAAAAAAAAAATGTTCATCACCCCCCACAAGTAGTACAGTGTCACCATGGTGACACTGTACTGCTAGGGTGACGGTATGTAAAAAAACAAAAAAAAACAAAAACAAATAATATAAAAAAATAAAATAAAAATGTAAAAAAAAATGTTTAAAAATTATAATTTTTGGTTATAACTAATTTGGCGTATTTTTTTTTTTACTAAAAAGATAACGGAATACATTTTGGCCAAGATTTATGATGAATTATTTATTTACAAAATTTTATAAGAAAAAAAAAAACTTTTTTCAAAATTTTTGGAGTTTTTCATTTATATAGCAAAAAAAATAAAAATCACAGTGGTGAATAAATACCACCAAAATAAAGCTTTATCTGTCTCAAAAAAATGGTAATAAATTCATATGGGTACAGTGTTGCATGACCGCGCAACTGTCATTCTAAGTGTGATAGCGCTGAAAGCTGAAAATTGCCCTGGTCAGGAAAGGGGTAAAAGTGTCCGGACAGGAAGAGGTTAATAATGGATGCAATGCCAAGCTGCGGTTTCTAAAGCAACCAAAATCCTCTCTTGTATTAAAAGAGGTATAGACTCCAGAGAGAGAGGTATCATTTCCCCCTGTACAAATCATTAGTAAGACGTCATCTGGAATATGCAGTTCAGTTTTGGGCACCAATTCACAAAAAGAACATTGGGGAACTGGAGAAAGTACAGAGAAGGGAAACCAAACTGATAAGAGGCATGGAGGAGCTCAGCTATGAGGAAAGATTAGAGGAACTGAGAAGAGAAGACTAAGGGGGGATATGATCTCCATGTAAAATACATAAGGGGGGGGTATGATCTCCATGTATAATACATAAGGGGGGATATGATCTCCATGTATAATACATAAGGGGGGATATGATCTCCATGTATAAATACATAAGGGGGGATATGATCACCATGTATAACACATAAGGGGGGATATGATCTCCATGTATAATACATAAGGGGGGATATGATCACCATGTATAACACATAAGGGGGGATATGATCAACATGTATAACAAATAAGGGGGGATATGATCTCCATGTATAATACATAAGGGGGGATATGATCACCATGTATAATACAAAAGGGGGGTATGATCTCCATGTATAATACATAGGGGGGATATGATCTCCATGTATAATACATAAGGGGGGATATGATCTCCATGTATAATACATAGGGGGGATATGATCAACATGTATAATACATAAGGGGGGATATGATCTCCATGTATAATACATAAGGGGGGATATGATATCCATGTATAATACATAAGGGGGGATATGATCTCCATGTATAATACATAAGGGGGATATGATCTCCATGTATAATACATAAGGGGGGATATGATCACCATGTATAACACATAAGGGGGGATATGATCTCTCCATGTATAATACATAAGGGGGGATATGATCACCATGTATAACACATAAGGGGGGGATGATCAACATGTATAACAAATAAGGGGGGATATGATCACCATGTATAACACATAAGGGGGATATGATCTCCATGTATAATACATAAGGGGGGATATGATCACCATGTATAACACATAAGGGGGGATATGATCAACATGTATAACAAATAAGGGGGGATATGATCTCCATGTATAATACATAAGGGGGGATATGATCACCATGTATAATACAAAAGGGGGGATATGATCTCCATGTATAATACATAGGGGGGGATATGATCTCCATGTATAATACATAAGGGGGGATATGATCTCCATGTATAATACATAAGCGGGGATATGATCTCCATGTATAATACATAAGGGGGGATATGAACTCCATGTATAATACATAGGGGGGATATGATCAACATGTATAATACATAAGGGGGGATATGATCTCCATGTATAATACATAAGGGGGGATATGATATCCATGTATAATACATAAGGGGGGATATGATATCCATGTATAATATACATAAGGGGGATATGACCTCCATGTATAATACATAAGGGGGGATATGATCACCATGTATAACACATAAGGGGGGATATGATCTCCATGTATAATACATAAGGGGGGATATGATCACCATGTATAACACATAAGGGGGGATATGATCAACATGTATAACAAATAAGGGGGGATATGATCTCCATGTATAATACATAAGGGGGGATATGATCTCCATGTATATAATACATAAGGGGGGATATGATCTCCATGTATAATACATAAGGGGGATATGATCTCCATGTATAATACATAAGGGGGGATATGATCTCCATGTATAATACATAAGGGGGGATATGATCTCCATGTATAATACATAAGGGGGATATGATCTCCATGTATAATACATAAGGGGGGATATATGATTTCCATGTATAATACATAAGGGGGGATATGATCTCCATGTATAATACATAAGGGGGGATATGATCTCCATGTATAATACATAAGGGGGGATATGATCTCCATGTATAATACATAAGGGGGGGATATGATCACCATGTATAACACATAAGGGGGATATGATCACCATGTATAACACATAAGGGGGGATATGATCTCCATGTATAATACATAAGGGGGATATGATCTCCATGTATAATACATAAGGGGGATATGATCACCATGTATAATACATAAGGGGGATATGATCAACATGTATAAAACACATAAGGGGGGATATGATCAACATGTATAATACATAAGGGGGATATGATCTCCATGTATAATACATAAGGGGGGATATGATCTCCATGTATAATACATAAGGGGGGATATGATCTCCATGTATAATACATAAGGGGGGATATGATCACCATGTATAATACATAAGGGGGATATGAACTCCATGTATAATACATAAGGGGGGATATGATTTCCATGTATAATACATAAGGGGGGGATATGAACTCCATGTATAATACATAAGGGGGATATGATCTCCATGTATAATACATAAGGGGGGATATGATCTCCATGTATAATACATAAGGGGGGATATGATCTCCATGTATAATACATAAGGGGGGATATGATCTCCATGTATAATACATAAGGGGGGATATGATTTCCATGTATAATACATAAGGGGGGATATGATCTCCATGTATAATACATAAGGGGGGATATGATCTCCATGTATAAATACATTAGTGGTTCATATAGTGAACTCGGTGTAGTTATTCACCCTGAGGTCACCACAGAGGATAAAGGGGGCACTCTTTACGTCTGGAGGAAAAGAAATGTAATCTCCAAACACGGAAAGGTTTCTTCACAGTGAGAGCTGTGAAAATGTGGAATAGACTCCCTAAAGAGTTTGTGTCTGGCCAGCTCAGTGGATTGCTTTAAAAAAGTCCTGGATTCTTTCTTAGATACACAGAATATAACTGGATACTAACATTTATAGATAAAGTTGATCCAGGGAATATCTGATTGCCTCTTGGGGGATCAGGAAGGTATTTTTTTTTCCCTGCAGGAGCAAATTGGATCATGCTTTGCTGTTTTTTTTTGCGTTCCTCTGGATCAAATGTGGGTATAGGATTATAACCTTTATTTTTTTTTTTTTTATGGTTGAACTGGATGGACTTTTGTCTTTTTTCAGCCAGACTATGTAAACCAATTAATTTACACATATTACGTATTGGGATTTTTTTTTAGCAAAGACATGTAGCAAAATAAATTTTGCTCTAAACCTCGAAATTAGATTTTTTTAAAAAAAATGTTTAATAGCAAAATGTCAAAAATATTGTTTTCTCAAAACTGTTGGGTCTTTTTTTTTTTTTTTGGATAGCACAAAAAAATACAAAAATGCACAGGCAGTCAAATACCACCAAAAAAGCTCTATTCGTGGGAAAAAAAGGATGTAAATTTAATTTGGGTGCAGCGTTGCATGACCGTCCAATTGTCAGTTAAAGTAATGCAGCACCGCAACGCAAAAAAATGGCCTGGTCAGGAAGGGGGGTAAATCCTCTGGAGGGCAAGAGGTTAAATGCAGCTAGTCACATTCCAAGTGTATCAAAACAAAAGGCGCACAAATGCAGGCCATACATGGATCGAATTCCGAACAAATTGTCTTTAAAAAATCGGAAATATTGTGTGTTTTGTAATCTGATGGTGCCACCATTGATTTCGAAAATTCAACCAAGCCTTTAATTTCATCTCATGTTGCTACAGAAAAGAATTTTCGTGGCCAAGAATGTTCTTTTCTTTCCAGGTCATGCTCATTTCTTTTTTTTTCCATTTATATTTCTTGCACAATTCTCCCATCATTGATTTGATATTCGTTTGTTTTTTAAAAAATTTCCAACATGCCTAATCACTCAGATTTGATGGTCACATGAAAATCGTCCGTTTCTGTGACCCACTAATTTCAAACGAAAATTCTTACAAAAGATTTTTGAAAGTAAATGCTTTCGGAATTGGACCCGTGTTTGGCAGGCTAAAGTCTTGTTCACATATTGAAGAGAAAAGCCTGTCCAGCAAGTTGCAGAGAAGGACTCTTGTTCTCCATGTGGAAGTAGTGGTCTCTCTGCACAGGCTCCAAACACCCTTGCTGAGTCAGGCCTATAAAATCTCCAATCAGTGGAGCTTATGTTTCCTGCTAATTGAAGAGCTCTCACTGGGGGCACGTCAAACCTTTGTAGGGATTCTAAACTCATCAACTGATTGAAAGCATGTATTTGTGCAATTAAATGATGAAAAAGATCACCTCTGTTCAAACGGGTATTGCTGATCTGTACTGCAGCATCATCCTCATTTTCCTGCGGGTCCTGTGAATAAAATATGTACAACATAAGCTTGTACTTACACCCAAGATGTCTACATTTTGTCCTTTGAGGTCATTATATGAGCAGATGTAAGGAATCGTGTATAAAGTACTTACAATTGCTATGCTGAGGCTGGTGTCAGTCACAGGATTATCTGAGGATGACAAGTCAGGTTTAAAAAGCTGCAAAAGTTAAAAAGATAAAAGAAGACTTGCCTCCGTGAATTATTTTACATGAGCTCCGTCTTGCTGGCTTCCTAAACCCCACCATACATACAAATGTGCATTGTTAAGTTGCAGTTGGCTATTTCACAATTTTCCTATTGTTGTATTCCAGGCATGCTTGTTAGGTTTTAGGAGGGAAAAAAACATGATAAATTTCAAGGCAACATTCCCCAACTACAATAAAAAAAAAAAAAAAAAAAAAAAAAAAAAGATTCTATACATTAGCCTAACCCCAGGCTTAAAGACCTAATTCCAAGTACTCAGAAATGAAATATGAACAAAGCATATTCCTCTAAAGCAGCGGTTCTCAACCTGGGGGTCGCGACCCCTTTGGGGGTCGAACGACGCTTCCACAGGGGTCGCCTAAGACCATCGGAAAACACATATTTCCGATGGTCTTAGGAACCGAGACACCGCTCCTCGCCGTCTCCAGGTGTGGGGCGGGATGACATGCCGCCCCTGTCATCTGGACACACCTCGAGATCAATCCTCGCCTGTGATTGGCCGCCGGCACTGTAGTTCAGGAGAGGCACACAGGCGGCCAATCACCGGCAAAGAGGTGGAGCTTGGAGAGGAGGAGCCGAGCGGCACCGCGAAGATCGAGCGAGTGAAGAGGAGGAGAGCGGCCGGAGAAGGAAGACATCTGACAGGTAAGTGTTGGTACCATGGGAGAGGGGGAGGGAGCGAGCGAGCCCAGGCTGGAGCAGGGGTCAGCAAGGTAAGTATCATTGGTGTCAGTGGGAATAGTGCCCCATCATTGGTGTCACTAATACCAATGATGGGGCACTATTCCTCCTACTGACACCAACGATGGGACACTATTCCTCCCACTGACACCAACGATGGGGCACTATTCCTCCCACTGACACCAACGATGGGACACTATTCCTCCCACTGACACCAATGATGGGGCACTATTCCTCCCACTGACACCAACGATGGGGCACTATTCCTCCCACTGACACCAACGATGGGACACTATTCCCCCCACTGACACCAACGATGAGGCACGATTCCTCCCCCAAATGACACCAACGATGGGGCACGATTCCTCCCCCCACTGACACCAACGATGGGGCACAATTCCTCCCCCCACTGACACCAAGGATGGGGCACAATTCCTCCCCCCACTGACACCAAGGATGGGGCAGTATTCCTCCCCCCACTGACACCAAGGATGGGGCACTATTCCTCCCCCCCCACTGACACCAAGGATAGGGCATTATTCCTCCCCCCACTGACACCAAGGATGGGGCACTATTCCTCCCCCCACTGACACCAAGGATGGGGCACTATTCCTCCCCCCACTGACACCAAGGATGGGGCAGTATTCCTCCCCCCACTGACACCAATGATGGGGCACTATTCCTCCCACTGACACCAATGATGGGGCACTATTCCTCCCACTGATACCAATGATGGGACACTATTCCCCCCCACTGATACCAATGATGGGGCACTATTCCTCCCACTGATACCAATGATGGGGCACTATTCCTCCCACTGACACCAATGATGGGGCACTATTCCTCCCACTGACACCAATGATGGGGCACTATTCCTCCCACTGATACCAATGATGGGACACTATTCCTCCCCACTGATACCAATGATGGGGCACTATTCCTCCCACTGACACCAATGATGGGGCACTATTCCTCCCACTGATACCAATGATGGGACACTATTCCTCCCACTGATACCAATGATGGGACACTATTCCTCCCACTGACACCAATGATGGGACACTATTCCTCACACTGACACACCAATGACGGGGCACTATTCCTCCCACTGACACCAATGACGGGGCACTATTCCTCCCACTGACACCAATGACGGGGCACTATTCCTCCCACTGATACCAATGACGGGGCACTATTCCTCCCACTGACACCAATGACGGGGCACTATTCCTCCCACTGACACCAATGACGGGGCACTATTCCTCCCACTGACACCAATGACGGGGCACTATTCCTCCCACTGACACCAATGACGGGGCACTATTCCTCCCACTGACACCAATGAAGGGGGCACTATTCCTCCCACTGACACCAATGACGGGGCACTATTCCTCCCACTGATACCAATGACGGGGCACTATTCCTCCCACTGACACCAATGACGTGGCACTATTCCTCCTACTGCAAAATTACAGTTATGAAGTAGCAACAAAAATAATTTTATGGTTGGGGGTCACCACAACATGAGGAACTGTATTAAGGGGTCGCGGCGTTAGAAAGGTTGAGAACCACTGCTCTAAAAGTGTGTGTCTCTGTTCAGAGCACTGTCAATTCTGTCTGCTGCCTCATTCCTTCTGAAAAGTTTTGCTGACACCAAGAAGAAAAAAAAAGGTGACTAGGGATGGAGTTCCAACGCACAACCTGTGATTGACAGCCTCAGCTCTGTTCATTTGTTTTGTGTGAATGGGGGGTGTGTCCCTTCCATCCAATCAGCTCTCACCGAGCTCTACAGAATGTATCTTCAGCTCTCTACGCCGTTTTCTGAAACTGTATAAATTCTGCACTTTGAACGGCTGTAGAGAAAAGAAGACAGCAGATAAACAGGTACAACTTATGTAGGATGATTTGTTTCATCTCTGTGTATTACCTGAGGCCAGTCACTTCACTGGGTACATGTAAGGGTTTACAACCACTTTAAAGCTTTAAACTTCACTCATGATCATGACTTTGTATGGCTGCAGTCTCCCCCACTTGTAATATATAAAATGTTTTGTTGTTTTTTTTAATATTTTGTGTTTCCACTCTTGCCTAGGTGGGCATGACATCTCCACTTCTGCAGCCTCCTGGCATAACAATATCACATATCCCAGGAAGCTTAAGGTTCCTTACAGCAGAGGAGAGACACAGCACTGGGCAAAGGGGGCATATCATCATGGGTCTTGTTGTCTGAACCTGGAAGAGACAGCTCCTGATAATTGTGGGCGGGACCTCCCTTGCGCCAACGGAGCGGCAGGTCACAGCAGGACAACCCTGGGTGGGCAAGTACATAGGCCTCTGCCTCATCCAAGCAGAGAATGCTTTGCATTCCTTCAGAAAACAATCACGTGTCAAACAAGGCCTGAGGACTGAATCCGGCCCACCAGGCCATGTTATGTGGCCCTCGCACCTCTCCTGAATCTGCGGCACCCCCGTCGTTCCCGCTCCCACTTTGTCTCTGCATTCACAGAACTTCTCCTACAGACCCTGCACCTCTCTGTGCAGCTACTGCCCCCCCCCCATAATCTGCATAGAGTGTGGCAACTAACTCCGGCCCTCCTGTGGTCCTCCTTTAGATCCTGCACTTGGGGGGTGCACTGTGATTTAGGGGAAGGAGGGGGACTCTTGACGGCTGGTGACATCTGATGTAAGGGGGGGGGAGGGGTAATTGTTACTCTGAACATCTAGTCTTACCAGATACCATAATGCTGTTGCATTCCCATGATGGAATGGAGTTTGATACCCATGCTCTAAATGAGGCCCTTGATGAGTGGCATACCTTCTGTGTTCACAATGCATCAAGCTGGCCGCTCAGCACAGCACTCAAAAGCAAGAGGTGATTACAGGAGTAGCGGTGTCCACGACAGTGAATCCAGCCTCCAGGGGCATCAGCCAGTTGCATTGGTCCACGCTAGATCAGTGTAATTATGTATAAAATATCCATACCTGGAATCCACCTTTAAGTCTCCAGTTGCCGTTCTACCAACCTCTGTACTTGTCCAGCCTAAATCCTTACATTGGGAATTTTTACCCTTACAGCAGTTTCAATAAAAAATACAATTGCCAGATTCCCAAAGTACTCACATCCCAATAAATGTCATATACAGCCCTCAACTCTACACTATACCTTCTTACAGAATGTTGTAACATGAGAGAAATGCAGATATTATAAAATAACTCCAAGCAATGAACTGGTAAAGTACAACCATTAGTTCTGCATTTCAGTAACCACTTTCTCACCTCATCAATGAAATCAGCATCAACATCGAGCTTCTTCCTGCATAACATCGTCTGCAGCTCTTCCAGACTAGTATCAATACAGCTTAGGAAGTTTTGGATTTTCTCTCTAATAAAATAGAAAAATCACAAACATTAGAATCTTGTGGCCTAACACCTGATTCCAGCAAATCCGGCAATACTAATGAACAGTGATCTCAGACACAGAAGAAAAGGTGGCCCATTAGGTTGGATATGTTTAACAATGAGACCAACATTCCGAGAGAGAAAATTAATCTGTAGATCCATAAAAAAAGAAGGCGGCAGGCTCCCCCTTAGCTAACCAAGTGTCAAAACCAAGCCCTTCCGGAACAATAAAGCTTCCCTTATTAAGGATTTTAAGGCATGCCGCCAGTTACTACATTTTGGGGCATGTTTGCTGCAGGTAGCCATGTTTGGAGTGAGGACAAGCCCCCTGCTTTTTTTTTTTTTTTCTCTCTTTTTCTTTCGGTAGAAAAATTGCTGATAGTTGTATGTGCATATCTTTTTTTGGTAGAATTCGGTACTTTATGTACCCTTTGCCATCACACGGACGCTTGTGCTTTCGATCCAACATTTGTTTATTTTTGTTCTAAAGAACGATATTGGCAGCATAGTCCCAAGGGTAAGCAGGGGGCGCATATTTATCGGGGCAATTAATCCACTGGAAATACACCTGTTGTAGTGCCTATAAAGTCCACCAAATGGCCCTTTTTTCTTCTCCAAGCATTGGAAATATAAATGTATGTACTGTAGTTTGGTGTATATGGCATAATTATATATGATTGGTTAATATTTTTTGATACGATTGTAGACTGTATTGCGGATAGTCTTGCTCTTCCCCTGAGGAAGCCCAGGCTGGGCGAAACATGTTGGGAAGCATCATCTGTGCATTGCAGGAAACAGTCATGCGTGTTGTGATTGTCAAGTTCATTGTATCTTTTTTTTATTCAATGTAATTTTATTGATATAAATAAATTGTAAAAAAAACTTTTTTACAAGATTATTCAAACTATCATTACGCACCTTTAAAATCCCATAATCTACTGTCCTTTGTACAATTTTGATGGGGATGTGGTGCCATATGTTGATTGTCAACCACTCATCATTCTTCCAATTTTCACTTAATAAGGATTTTATGGCATGCTGCCAGTTACAAAATTTTGGATCTAATTTGGGGCATGTTTGCTGTGGGTAACCTTGTTTAGGTTGAGGACAAGCCCCCTGCTTGGTTTCAGTACCCAGCTAGCTATGCAGGTGACCCAGCATATAAGGCTTGGTAGCAGCAGATAACATTTTTTCCTTCTATAATATAAATATTATATTATTTGGCAGCACAGTGGCTAAATGGTTAGCACTTCTGCCTGGCAGTACTAGTGTCGTTGGTTCGAATCCCAACCATGGCACCATCTGCCTGGAGTTTGCATTTTCTCCCTGTGCCTGCGTGGGTTTCCTCCGGGTACTCCGGTTTCCTCCCACACTCCAAAGACATACTGGTAGGTTAATTGGCCCTAGTAAGTGTATGTATGGATGTGAGTTAGGAACCTTAGATTGTACGCCCCTTGAGGGTTAAGGACTGATGTGAATGTACAATATATATGTAAAGCTCTGCGTAAATGGACGGCGCTATATAAGTACACGTAATAAATAAATAAATATGATCTGGCTTGTCAGAGCCTCTACAGCCGACTTAAAGTGGAAGAAAAATCCACTTTGTAAGATGTACCTATGGTAAGCCTACAGGTAAGAGATATTCAAACAGCATGCAGCTGGTGACGTCACCGGTGCATGCATTCTGAAGGAACGGCATAGAGTGCCGGACCTTCAGAGCTCCGTGCCGCAGCCAAGTGCTACCCCTTGCATGCATGGGAATGACGTTATTGAACCCTGAAGGAAGACCGGGTGAAGATGGTGTTGCCGGGGAACCAAAACAGAGCGGCGCTGATGGGCTCTGTGTACAGGTAAGTCTGTCTTAATGTACTAATATGCAGTGCATACATTATACATTACATTATGACCTAAACTCGCAGCGGGGACTGTTGTTTTGTTTTTTTCCAGGTGGTTTACTATTGCTTTAACCCCTTGCCCTCCAGAGGATTTACCCCCCTTCCTGACCAGACCATTTTTGGTGATACGGTGCTGCGTTACTTTAACTGACAATTGTGAGGTCTGCAACGCTGCACCCAAATTAAATTTATGTCCTTTTTTTCTCCACAAATAGAGCTTTATTTTGGTGGTATTTGATTGTCTGTGCGTATTTAAATTTTTGTGCTATAAACAAAAAAAGACAGACACTTTTGAGGAAAAAAAAATATATATATTTTTGGCTTTTTGCTATTAAACATGTCCAGCAAAAAAATTTTTAAAAATCAAATTTCGTCAAAAATTTAGGCCAAAATGTATTCTGCGACATGCCTTTGCAAAAAAAAATTCCCAATACCTGTAAATTAATTGGTTTACGTGAAAGTTATAGCACTTACAAATGGCGATATATGTAATGGATTTAAACATTTTTTTTGTTAATTTTTACTAGTAATGGCGGCGATCATCAGGGTTAACCGTGTGCAGTTTTACTGTGTATGCTGTGTTTCACTGTAAGTACACTGCTTTGTATGGCTCTGCTCAGGGGCGGACTGACAACTCATGGGGCCCCTGGGCAATAGGGGATCATGGGGCCCCTGTGTCCTTGCCCAAACTCAAAAAAGCCTATGAAAAAGGTACCAGGGGCATCTCATGGGGCCCCCTACTGACCTCGGGCCCTTGGGCAGTGCCTGAGTTTCCAAATGGTCAGTCCGCCCCTGGCCTCCGCTATGTCATCTGAGATACTCAGAGATCGCTGGGTGCTGGCGAGTAATCACCAACTGGGACCCAGTGATTGACAGCCGAGGCCGCGAATGGCAGCACAGGTAGGTGCGCACACCCCCTACCCGGAACTGCAAAATCATGCATATATATGTGATTTTGCGCACCCCTGCTGCCCTGTAGAAGTTTTTCTGCTATAGGGCGGAGGGGAAGCGGTTAGAGTGGAACTCCAGGAATTCTCTTTTTTGCAAACTTTTATTGGTCGAGCTTAGCTTAATGTACGAGGTGTGTCCAGAATATAATGAGAATCAAGCTCCTACGCTCGAGAAGGGCTCTGTGAAAGGAGAAGCTGGCCAAAAAAAAAATGCAAGCGAATTTGGAACAGTGGTATGCGATAACATTTTGTGTGAAAGTGGGTAAAAGTGCATCAAAAACTTTGGAAATGGTGAGGAAAGCTTATGGAAAAGCTGAGTTATCATCTGCACAAGTGTAGCGAAGGCACAAGGCCTTCAAGGAAGGATGAGAAGGTGTTGATGAACGACAATCAGGACGCCCCTCTTTGTCAAAAAAGGAATAGAATATGGATGCAGTGAGGTCTGTTCTCAACCATGACCAACGACTCACTATCAGAAAGATTGCAGAAGAGACGGGAATTACCAAGTCAATTATTCATGAAATAGTGACTCAGGATAAGAACATGAGCAAAGTGTGCGCAAAACTTGTTCCAAAGAACTTGTCACCTGATCAGAAGGAACACCGTCAACTCGTTTGCCAAGACCTGTTGGCCTTTTATAGAGAGGATGATTCTTTGAGTTGAGTGATCACGAAAGATGAACCATGGGTGTTTATGATCCCGAGACAAAGAAACAAAGTTCACACCCACGTCACCTCACTCCAAGAAAACTCATTGTTTTTTCTTCTTTTTATTCCAGATGGAATTGTCCATAAGGAATTTGTACCTACTGCTCAAATGGTGAATCAAATATTTTACCTGAAAGTTCTTGGTCGTTTGAGACAAAGTTTGTCGTGTGCTTCCTGAGATCGGCTCAACTTGGATCCTTCATCACAATGCACCAAGTCACATTGCTTTGGTTGTCAAAAATTTTTTGCCAAAAAACACATCACGGTGCTTCCCCATCCACTCTACAGCCCCAACATGGCTCCTTGCAACTCTTTCATATTCCCAAAAATAAAGAAGGGTTTGAAAGGACACCATTTTGGTAGTGTGGATAACGTCCACTAGGCAGGCTCTGAATGCCATCCCACTTGAAGATTTCCAGGGATGCTATGAAGAATGGGAAAATCACTGGGAGCATTGTGTACAATCACAAGGTGCATACCATACATTGCTGCGAACGTCAGAGTGACAGCAATCATTCTAGTACTAGACCTCCTGTGTAACTCCAAACTGGTGAACTATAAAGGTTTCTAAAGTGTCACCTATTGATATTTTTAAGTACTGTAGTTTGGCGCCATTCCTGAGGCGTACGCAGTTTTAAAGCGGAACATGCTAGGTATCTATTTACTCGGCTTAACATCGTCTTTTATGTTTTATCAAAAAATTGGGTATTATATTGTGCTTGTGCTTATTAAAACTCATTATTTAGTATTTCATTCTGGAAAATTTGCGTTTGATAAACCACAGTGAAAATATTGTGCAACATAAAAAAAAAAAAAAAAAAAATTGCAGCACTTTATATTTAAACTCTAGGGCAGTGGTTCTTAACCTGGGTTCGATCGAACCCCAGGGGTTCGGTGAGTCAGTCTCGGGGGTTCGGCGGAGGTGACCCACACCCGACTCATATGATTTGTGATGACATGCCCCGCTTGTCCATCATTGGCTGCAGGTGGTCACGCAACATCGCTTAGCCCAGTGGTCGGCAAGCCGCGGCTCTTGTGTGCCAGGCGCCCGCTCCCCTCCCTCCTCTCGGGCGACAGGGACTCAAATGCAATGATTGGCCAGTCTCGCTGCCACTCACATCCTGATAGCCAGTGATTGGCTGTCAGGATGTGTGTAGGCGGGGCAGCGTGACGAACGTGAGAGGAGCTAGGCTCCTCTCACAGTCCGCCCTGAAGACCGGAACGGCGCGGGAATACAGCGAGAGGAACGCGCGGAGCAAAGGTAAGTGAATTGACACAGGGGGGACTTGGGGACTTAATATGGGGGTTGAATTAATATGGGGAACGAATTACTATAGGGGGGATGAATTACTATGGGGGATGAATTACTATATGGGGGATGTATTACTATGGGGGATGAATTATTATATGGGGGATGAATTACTATATGGGGGATGTATTACTATATGGGGGATGAATTACTATATGGGAGATGAATTACTATATGGGAGATGAATTACTATATGGGAGATGAATTACTATATGGGGGATGTATTACTATATGGGGGATGAATTACTATATGGGGGATGAATTACTATATGGGGGATGTATTACTATGGGGGATGAATTACTATATGGGGGATGAATTACTATGGGGGATGAATTACTATATGGGGGATGAATTACTATATGGGGGATGAATTACTATATGGGGGATGAATTACTATATGGGGGATGAATTACTATGGGGGATGAATTACTATATGGGGGATGAATTACTATATGGGGGATGAATTACTATATGGGGGATGAATTACTATGGGGGATGAATTACTATATGGGGGATGAATTACTATATGGGGGATGAATTACTATGGGGGATGAATTACTATATGGGGGATGAATTACTATATGGGGGATGAATTACTATGGGGGATGAATTTTCATACCATTTGTTACAACATATCTTTGCGAGCAATCCTTTTCGAGGATGCTGGACATAAAGACGAAGAAAAGGAACAGACTTTGTTGCGAAAATGACATGAGAGTGGCACTTGCCAAGGTAATGCCGCGCATTTCTGAACTGGCCTCTGAAAGACAACAGCAGAAGTCACACTGATTTGCGGAAAATATTCATTATTTTGTTTTTGTGTGAAAATCATGTTTTAATGGTTTTGTTCTTTGTTCTTAATGGTTTTGTTCATTTTGTGCACCTATGTATAAATATATACCTATGTCTTGAATTTTAAAAATCATATTTTATTTTTCCAATTAAGAAGGGTTCGGTGAATGCGCATATGAAACTGGTGGGGTTCAGTACCTCCAAAAAGGTTAAGAACCACTGCTCTAGGGTCTCTGCTTAAAAAAAATATGTTTGGGGTTTCTTAAACACGTATTAAATGCAGCACGAGCCCCCCCACCTTTTTTTTCCAATCTGATCTCTCGTCTCTCCTTTTCGATTTATTCTTTTTCTTTAATACATAAAAACTCTTTTGGATGTGCAGAGATTCAGGCAGGCATAGACATGTGACTTCTGTACATTTTTGATTACTGTGATCTGAGGTTTTCTGGGCATAGGTTTCTACCCTGTGGCCAATTTCAGAGTCCCAGGGGCCTTTCTATAACCAATTAAACAAGTCATTTTACCATGTTTGGATGGACTGTTGGTACCTCATACGGATTCTTCTTCAATGTGGTATATAATGCTGTATCCCTCTGTGGATATTTTTGGAAATATACCTTGATGTGACTTGGAACATATGTTTGACAAAATGTATGGAATCAATGTTTTTAATATTATCTATTGCAATCCTCTAAATAAAAAAAATAAAAATAAAATTTGGGGATTCTAAGTAATTTTCAAGAAAAAAAAAAATGCAGATTTTTACATGCATGACAAGAATGTCCAAATTTTCCCTGATTGGAAGCGATTAATCAGATGTCCTACTTACCGGTATAACAATTCATTGCTGCTGGCTGCATCATTCTCATTCAGAATAGAACTGATCACGCTATCTGCATCCTCAGCGGAGTTTGCTTGCACTACATCCAGCGCTAGGCCCTCTTCCCCTGCAGAGCTACAGGGGACCAGATCTTCCTCAGTCAAGGACTGCAGCTGCAGAACTGAATCATCAATGATACTCTCCTGCACCGTTTCGCTGTGAAAGAATAAAAAAATAAATTTGAGTTTCCCAACTTACAAAAGAGAGACTATTCAAGTGATGGGTGCACAATACCCATAACTGCTGCCAGTGGTGGACAGACCATTCAGGAATTGCACTGATAAGTAAAGGTGCTGCAGTGTCAGAGCCTGTAATGCTGCAAACAATGTCCCTCAGGGTCTCTTAGAAACAAACATTTTGATAACCAGTCTTGTACAGCGCCACTGTGCTTAATACAGTCTTTAATCCCAGTGTCTGAAGCACATTTAGCAGACATCTGAATGCCCAAGTCAAGCCCTTTAACCACTTGACACCTGCTCACAGTACTGCAGGTGGGCAGCAGCTGCAGGCTAGACAACGTACCTGCATGTCGCTGCTTGCTTCCGGGTTTCAGGCGCGCGGGCCTCCTGCTGACCTATGCTGTGACTGCATACAGGAAAAGATTGTCAGCAGGTTTCAGCCAATGATTGTGGCACTATACCTGCTGATCAGCTGTGGCCAATCACAGTCCTGTGTTTACAAACACACACAACTCTGTACACAGACAGCGATCTGGCTGTTTCTTTTCCCTGTAATCATCTATGACTTCAGGGAGAAAAAGCAGCCAGATCTGTGAGTAAAAGCAGTACACTTGTTACACATATAGGAGAGTAAGAACAGAATTGGCGCTCGGAAGGAACCACAAGTAGTGAGATCCTAGTGTGAGTAAATGCAGCAAATAAAATCACATACAGTACAGATAAAACATGACATCTTAGGCATAAAGTCCAAAAATCCAAGAGTCCCAGATAGGGAAGGACAGGTGAAGGCAGCTCCCCATAGAGTGAAGCAGTACTCTGCAGGAGACAAAATTGGACAGAAGGGGGCGCCAATCTGAGTGTAGAGCAGTGGTTCTCAACCTTTCTAATGCCGCGACCCCTTAATACAGTTCCTCATGTTGTGGTGACCCCTAACCATAAAATTATTTTCGTTGCTACTTCATAACTGTAATTTTGCAGTGGGAGGAGTAGTGTGCCACGACATTGGTGTCAGTGGGAGGAATAGTGCCCCATCATTGATATCAGTGGTAGGAATAGTGCCCCATCATTGGTGTCAGTGGTAGGAATAGTGCCCCATCATTGGTGTCAGTGGGAGGAATAGTGCCCCATCATTGGTGTCAGTGGGAGGAATAGTGCCCCATCATAGGTGTCAGTGGGGGGAATAGTGCCCCATCATAGGTGTCAGTGGGGGGAATAGTGCCCCATCATTGGTGTCAGTGGGAGGAATAGTGCCCCATCATTGGTGTCAGTGGGAGGAATAGTGCCCCATCATAGGTGTCAGTGGGGGGAATAGTGCCCCATCATTGGTGTCAGTGGGGGGAATAGTGCCCCAACACTGGTGTCAGTGAGAGGAATAGTGCCCCATCGTTGGTGTCAGTGGGAGGAATAGTGCCCCATCGTTGGTATCAGTGGGAGGAATAGTGCCCCCATCATTGGTGTCAGTGGGAGGAATAGTGCCCCATCGTTGGTATCAGGGGGAGCAATAGTGCCCCAACATTGGTGTCAGTGGGAGGAATAGTGCCCCATCGTTGGTGTCAGTGGGAAGTATAGTGCCCCATCGTTGGTGTCAGTGGGAGGAATAGTGCCCCATCGTTGGTGTCAGGGGGAGGAATAGTGTCCCATCGTTGGTGTCAGGGGGAGGAATAGTGTCCCATCGTTGGTGTCAGGGGGAGGAATAGTGTCCCATCGTTGGTGTCAGTGGGAGGAATAGTGCCCCATCGTTGGTGTCAGTGGGAGGAATAGTGCCCCATCATAGGTGTCAGTGGGGGGAATAGTGCCCCATCATTGGTGTCAGTGGGGGGAATAGTGCCCCATCATTGGTGTCAGTGGGGGGGAATAGTGCCCCATCATTGGTGTCAGTGGTGGGGGGAATAGTGCCCCATCATTGGTGTCAGTAGGGGGAATAGTGCCCCATCATTGGTGTCAGTGGGGGGAATAGTGCCCCATCATTGGTGTCAGTGGGGGGAATAATGCCCCATCATTGGTGTCAGTGGGGGGAATAGTGCCCCATCATTGGTGTCAGTGGAGGGAATAATGCCCCATCATTGGTGTCAGTGGGGGGAATAGTGCCCCATCATTGGTGTCAGTGGGGGGAATAGTGCCCCATCATTGGTGTCAGTGGGGGGAATAGTGCCCCATCATTGGTGTCAGTGGGGGGAATAGTGCCCCATCATTGGTGTCAGTGGGAGGAATAGTGCCCCATCACTGGTGTCAGTGGGAGGAATAGTGTCCCATCACTGATGTCAGTGGGAGGAAAAGTGTCCCATCACTGGTATCAGTGGGAGGAATAGTGCCCCAACACTGGTGTCAGTGGGAGGAATAGTGCCCCATCATTGGTATCAGTGGGGAGGAATAGTGCCCCATCATTGGTGTCAGTGGGAGGAATAGTGCCCCATCATAGGTGTCAGTGGGGGGAATAGTGCCCCATCATTTGGTGTCAGTGGGGGGAATAGTGCCCCAACACTGGTGTCAGTGAGAGGAATAGTGCCCCATCATTGGTATCAGTGGGAGGGAATAGTGCCCCATCGTTGGTGTCAGTGGGAGGAATAGTGCCCCATCGTTGGTATCAGTGGGAGGAATAGTGCCCCCATCATTGGTGTCAGTGGGAGGAATAGTGCCCCATCATTGGTGTCAGTGGGAGGAATAGTGCCCCATCATTGGTATCAGTGGGAGGAATAGTGCCCCATCATTGGTGTCAGTGGGAGGAATAGTGCCCCATCATAGGTGTCAGTGGGGGGAATAGTGCCCCATCATTGGTGTCAGTGGGGGGAATAGTGCCCCAACACTGGTGTCAGTGAGAGGAATAGTGCCCCATCATTGGTATCAGTGGGAGGAATAGTGCCCCATCGTTGGTGTCAGTGGGAGGAATAGTGCCCCATCGTTGGTATCAGTGGGAGGAATAGTGCCCCCATCATTGGTGTCAGTGGGAGGAATAGTGCCCCATCGTTGGTATCAGGGGGAGCAATAGTGCCCCAACATTGGTGTCAGTGGGAGGAATAGTGCCCCATCGTTGGTATCAGAGGGAAGTATAGTGCCCCATCGTTGGTGTCAGTGGGAGGAATAGTGCCCCATTGTTGGTGTCAGGGGGAGGAATAGTGCCCATCGTTGGTGTCAGGGGGAGGAATAGTGTCCCATCGTTGGTGTCAGTGGGAGGAATAGTGCCCCATCGTTGGTATCAGTGGGAGGAATAGTGCCCCATCGTTGGTGTCAGTGGGAGGAATAGTGTCCCATCGTTGGTGTCAGTGGGAGGAATAGTGCCCCATCGTTGGTGTCAGTGGGAGGAATAGTGCCCCCATCATTGGTGTCAGTGGGAGGAATAGTGCCCCATCATAGGTGTCAGTGGGGGGAATAGTGCCCCATCATTGGTGTCAGTGGGGGGAATAGTGCCCCAACACTGGTGTCAGTGAGAGGAATAGTGCCCCATCATTGGTATCAGTGGGAGGAATAGTGCCCCATCGTTGGTGTCAGTGGGAGGAATAGTGCCCCCATCGTTGGTATCAGGGGAGGAATAGTGCCCCCATCGTTGGTATCAGTGGGAGGAATAGTGCCCCCATCGTTGGTGTCAGTGGGAGGAATAGTGCCCCATCGTTGGTATCAGGGGGAGCAATAGTGCCCCAACTTTGGTGTCAGTGGGAGGAATAGTGCCCCATCGTTGGTATCAGAGGGAAGTATAGTGCCCCATCGTTGGTGTCAGTGGGAGGAATAGTGCCCCATTGTTAGTGTCAGGGGGAGGAATAGTGTCCCATCGTTGGTGTCAGTGGGAGGAATAGTGCCCCATCGTTGGTATCAGTGGGAGGAATAGTGCCCCATCGTTGGTGTCAGTGGGAGGAATAGTGCCCCATCATAGGTGTCAGTGGGGGGAATAGTGCCCCAACACTGGTGTCAGTGAGAGGAATAGTGCCCCATCATTGGTATCAGTGGGAGGAATAGTGTCCCATCGTTGGTGTCAGTGGGAGGAATAGTGCCCCATCGTTGGTGTCAGTGGGAGGAATAGTGCCCCATCATTGGTGTCAGTGGAGAGGAATAGTGCCCCATCATAGGTGTCAGTGGGGGGAATAGTGCCCCATCATTGGTGTCAGTGGGGGGAATAGTGCCCCAACACTGGTGTCAGTGAGAGGAATAGTGCCCCATCATTGGTATCAGTGGGAGGAATAGTGCCCCATCGTTGGTGTCAGTGGGAGGAATAGTGCCCCATCGTTGGTGTCAGTGGGAGGAATAGTGCCCCCATCGTTGGTGTCAGTGGGAGGAATAGTGCCCCATCGTTAGTGTCAGGGGGAGGAATAGTGTCCCATCGTTGGTGTCAGGGGGAGGAATAGTGTCCCATCGTTGGTGTCAGTGGGAGGAATAGTGCCCCATCGTTGGTATCAGTGGGAGGAATAGTGCCCCATCATAGGTGTCAGTGGGGGGAATAGTGCCCCATCATAGGTGTCAGTGGGGGGAATAGTGCCCCATCATAGGTGTCAGTGGGGGGAATAGTGCCCCATCATAGGTGTCAGTGGGGGGAATAGTGCCCCATCATTGGTGTCAGTGGGGGGAATAGTGCCCCATCATTGGTGTCAGTGGGGGGAATAGTGCCCCATCGTTGGTGTCAGTGGGGGGAATAGTGCCCCATCGTTGGTGTCAGTGGGGGGAATAGTGCCCCATCGTTGGTGTCAGTGGGGGGAATAGTGCCCCATCGTTGGTGTCAGTGGGGGGAGGAATAGTGCCCCATCGTTGGTGTCAGTGGGGGGAGGAATAGTGCCCCATCGTTGGTGTCAGTGGGGGGAGGAATAGTGCCCCATTGTTGGTGTCAGTGGGGGGAGGAATAGTGCCCCATCGTTGGTGTCAGTGGGGGGAGGAATAGTGCCCCATCGTTGGTGTCAGTGGGGGGAGGAATAGTGCCCCATCGTTGGTGTCAGTGGGGGGAGGAATAGTGCCCCATCGTTGGTGTCAGTGGGGGGAGGAATAGTGCCCCATCGT